CTTGTTATACACCTGGGATGATGGTGAACTTCAGATGCGGAAATGCACACCGAGATATGTGCACTTATGCTTAGTTTGTGTTGAATTAACACACTTTTGTCACAAGTTAAAATTTATAAATACACATGACTAGTATTTGATTTTTCACGTATCCGAAAATTGGAAGATAAAACCTATTACTGCAGAACGATTGAGTAAGAGTATTACAATAGTATCGTTATTACATGTATCTGGAATAGGGAAATAATAAATCCTATTGTAGCAGAGCAATTGAGTAAGAACATTACAAGAGTATCGCTATAGCACAAGATGATGCACACATAGATATTTGATCAGTTGTAAGTTTTACTTTCATAATAGATTACCCGCGAGTAGGGTATTTCTTTTGAGATTTTGGCACACCCGTTATGGATGGCAGTTATATTTGTTTTAGTTTGGTTGACATCCTCTTATATTAGAGCAGGCTACTCGGATATAATTCGAGATGATATATTTATTCTTTATGTTGGAGTATGTTTCCTTGACTATTTATTTTTCATAGAGAGCTATATGAATGATTTGATATATGTAAGTCCTTACTCTATTTTCTTATATACTCCTACCCCTTCCCCTGGGGAGAGGTAGTGATGATCTCGCTAGCGCTTTGACGCACGTTGTTTCCCCTCTTTCAGGTAGCGAGTCTGGTGCATAGAGAGTCGCAGGATGATGGGACTCCTTAGTTGTTCATTTAGCTATTTATTATACTTTGTAGTTATTGCAGAACTCCACATGTAGTTAATTATTTTCAGACTCTAGATTGGTACTTTATTTTAGAGTTGAGAGCTCATGTGAGACTTTGTTTATTTGACTCATTGTATTTGAGATCCAGTTTACACTCAGAGATATTTCTATTCTATTTCAGTTGGGCTCATTCTTGATATTTCTTATGCTTCTTCTGTGTATATCCAATGTTGCCTATTTCTATTTTGCCTGTCTATACCTTCACTTATTTATTGTTTCTACTAGAGAGATAGTGATTGTGATGGTGAAACATGTCGTAGCATGATGGTTGGTGCTTAGCAGGTTTGACAATCCGGGTTTCATCTGGGACTGTAGCCTTGTGTGAATCCCGGGGCGTCACAATATCATAAGTAATCAAGTCTCAATAGACATAGAAGAAAATGTGTCCAACAATCTGATACAAATGGTCAATAATTTTAACTACAAGAGTCAACTGAAAAATACATAGGTTCTCAGCTCTCAAAATGAATAACAACTCTAAAAGTCAGATAATAAACTATAAACTGTTGTGGAGCTATAAATAACTACTAATAATATAAGATGTAAGCTAAACTACATTTCCATCAACATGCGACTCTCCGTACGCCTGGCTCGCTGCTTGAAAAGAGGGAAAATAATGAGCGTCAAAGTACTAGCGAGATCATCTCCACCGCCCCCAGGGGAAGGGCGTTAGGAGTATATATATAAAACCATCTATTCTGAACTAAGAGGATTGAGATTTAGAAATTCACAATATGAGAATTAGTACGTCGAGCGAAATAATCCAAAAAAGAAAACCCTCATGTATATATCATGTCTCAAATTGTGAATCGCTAAATCCACACTCCAAAGTCCTAGGAATGAAATAGTAAATAAAAGAAAAAAACTCCAAACCTCATTAATACAAGTCATAATCAAATCCTCATACTACCCTCGGGAAGTTGGCGCAATCACAAGGATAAACATCTGGTAACGTGAAGCTTGCATTAAATATGTCGTATAGAACAACCTCAAAATCATACCCTACTTTCGGGTAACTAACATGAATGAAATCTGTACAATGCTCTATGGAAAACATACTAATACACATGGGTGAACTACGTTCATAAGAAATGTCTATTTAAGACTCAAGGTATTTCACAATACAATCTCTTACAAAGTTTTATAGCTCATCACATCATTATGCGGAATGGATTACCTGTTCAGGTATTCTAAGAAAATACGGCTCACTGGTCTCATTGCATCACCATGCTGAATGGACTACCTCCTCGAGCATCTTACATGTATGGCTCATTTGCCTCATCGCATCACCATGCGGAACGAACTGCCTCCTTAGACATCCTCATCGCATCACCACACGAAACGAACTTTCTCCTCAGACATCCTCATCAATAGTATATCGATGCACTACCCTAGGTGATACTGAGTTTTGCCCATCAACGGTATCCATACACACACCTATACTATTCAAACTAATCATCTCCTAGTTGTGGCGAAACAAAACATGATATTACCCATTCCCGAAGGTCTATGCTTATTCGAACCCAACTCGTCCTCCACATGGACACGCACATGTTTTATTGTGAGACTCATACTTCATGCGTGTGAAACATATAAATGTGGAGAAACGCAAATACACATATCAACAACATATTGATTGACCGAAGTATGTCATCGGTCGACCGGTCAACATCGTGCACAAATGTGCACATGCAACTTAGCAACGATCGATCGACTGACTCCTTCGTTTCGGTCGACCGACCCGAGCCTTTCCTGATAATGGATTTTAGTTTCAGGTTTTGATCTTCATTTCATAAAATTGATACTTTTATAGGTAAACACATATAATTAATCTTGTTTAATATGATTAGGGTTCAATTAGCTACATGAAGAACAATTAATATATCTACATGAATTATATAAACCATAACATGTTCATGTTCGTAAAAAACATCATGAAAATAAATAAATCTTAATGAAAACTCATGTTAAAATTTATTTCAGATCTCAAATCCAAATCAGAGAATTCGTTTATAACTTTTAAAAACAAAAAGATCGAATCTTTGTATCATATACTTTAAAAGAGCAATTCTTATTCTTAAACTAGGTTTTAAGGCCAAATAAAACCAAATTAAACTCGATAAATCAATAAAAAATAGGGATGAGTGTAGGCATATAAAATTGCTTATAGGTCCCTTTGCACGGTTCAACACGAACTAATGAACCATCAGGCGACGTATCTAAGCACGAACGTCAGTCCACAGCACCGAAGCCAAGTGACACGCAACGAAGCGGATTAACAAGGCTACGAAGCTGACGAACCGCACGTGAACGACGGAATGAATCCACTCGCGTGCGGAATCAAATCAACGGTCCAGAGAGTCAACGAGTCATCCAACCATATAACGGATTCGAACTCAGACACCAAAGCCGATTTACTGCCTAATCGGGATCCAGACTTCCAAATCAGGAATCAAGTCAACAAATAGATGTCAGACCAATCAACCGCATAACCGAATCACAGACGAAGCGGATACAAGGACCGAAACAACGCCGAGCCACCCTGAGGTGGCCGCCCAGATCTGTGCCAAATGCACAGATCTGGTTGCCTATAAATAGGCGGGGTCATTCATCATTTCAGAGGACTTTTGGAAGAACTTTTGGAGAGCCGAAACACTGCCGGATTGAGACCTCATCTCGGAATTTGTGAAGGCTTGAAGACTTGGACGTTCGGATCTGATTCTCGGCGAGCACCCACATCACAAAAAAGGCAGGAGTTCGAGGGGATCAAGATCTCAGATCTACGTTGTTACACTCCGGATCTAAGCTTGGTCTTAGATCCCGAGACTTGGACGATTGTTATCCCTCCGGCTATTATTTCCTTGGTGAAATAATACCCGTTATACTGCGTAGATCTGTCCGGATCTAGATCGTGTGGTGGTCCACGGCAAACAACCCCGGCGCAGGCAAACAACCCACCAAAGCGAGCAACCGAATAACAGGAGCTCGTGATCTGTTCACAAGGAGAAAAAGTTATAATTTTAAATTTTCTTTATTTTTGATTTTCATTGTAACCGGATCTAAAAAAGACCGGATCTTTTGTAACCGAAAAACTGTTATTCAAGATAGCAATGACATCAATGAAGAAAGCAACGAATTTCCCCGCGAACATCAGTAGTCGACTATAATGATCATTAGTCGACTATACTGTAATTTGACAGAAACTTGAAAAATGACATTTTCTTCAGTAGTCGACTATAATGTTAATTAGTCGACTATACTGTAAATGAAATTCCGGCATGGAAATTTATTCTACCTTCTTAACCTCTCAAAATATTAAATCTATGCCCAAAATTATCAAAAAAATGCATCCCTTCCCTCTCCCTCTCTTCCTCCTCCTTGTCCTCGTCGTCCTCCTCCTACTTGTCGCCGTCGTCGTCCTCCTCCCCTCCCATTCCCCTCCCCTCCCCTCTTCCGCTTCCCCTTCCCCCTCCAACTCCATCCCTCTCCCCACCCTCCCCTCTGCCACTCCCATCCCCACCACGATCCCCGCCTTCCCCAAACAATCTGTCATAACCTCCTAATTAATGCATATATAGGAAGGATGAGAACAAACTATGTTGGTTCTGCAGTCACATAAAAACCAAAAGCAAAGAATTCAATTATATATAGTGCTTTGTTGTTCAACCTCGTAAAGTTTCTTCTATTATGAAGCAATGTTGGTCCTTTGGCAGCTGCAAGCAGTTGGATATTATTTAGAATAAAACCAGTTGCATTAGTGCATGATTTAAGTTACTGGCTCATTGAATATAAGTTTATGTTTCTTTATTTCCTTTCAAAAAGTCAGGAACCTCCCCTTCTTGAAGCTGAATACTTGATACTTTTGATTAATTGCATTACCATGACTGATACTTGAGTAGGGATTTTGAGCGATCAACAAAGTAAGATTTTTTGACAAATCTCAGGGGCTGTTTCATATGCTGCAATGCATGTAGAATATGCTGAATGTAGCATTCTGTTGTAGAAAATTAGTGCCAATTAAATCATTTGGATATCTATTCTTTTGCTGTAGTAAATGTACTTCCAGATACAAATTCATTGACTAGTTAGGTGCACAACTTGGACTTGTGCAACTTTCATTGCAGGAATTGAACTTCCAACAAGCAAGAATAGTTTAGCTTCAAGTAAAAGTGTTTACAATAAGTGAATTAGAGTCCATATTTAATGACACACCATTATTTTTTTTTACTGCATGTTGTCAAAGCAGTTTCTTGCAGCCAAATTGATTGCAGCAGCATGTGATGCATTTCTTCTCTGCAAAATGGAAGTCTAATTATTATTTCCGGCTATCATGTTGCTAACCAAATATTGAAATAGAAAATTTTGCTATACTGTTTGCTATTGCAACTCAAATTTTGTCAACCAAGCAAGATTCTCGAGTAATGAGTGCTCGAGCATTTTATCCTGGTGGAGAGGGAAGGGGAGGTGGAGGAGAGGGAGGGGAGGGGAATGGGAAGGGAGGAGGAGAGGGAGAGGGAGGGAATGCATATTTTTGATAATTTTGGGCATAGATTTAATATTTTGAGAGGTTAGGGAGGTAGAATAAATTTTCCTGCCGCAATTTCAAGGAAAAGGGTCTTATTGACTAAAAGGCCGAGAAAAAAAATACATTGTTGTCGCCGGAGTTTATAAGTATACCAAACTAGCAAACAAGGTCGAATAAAAATACCAATTTGGTAGTTTAGCCGTTAAGAAATCAAGAAAAGAGTGATTGACCACTGATGGCTGTAAGAAAATGAGAAGGCAAGCTCATTTGTTCTCTTTAATGCGCAGAACAATAAAATTTTTGCTAGGTGGGTGATGAGTGGCTTTCTGGCATAGAGCCCCTGGACAAGCTAATGAGATACTTTTGAACTTCTATAATTTGATGTTACTTAATTAACAACTAATTTGACTAATTTGACCATTGCTGATATTGAGGTGGGTTTGATCCTTGACTTGAGCTAATATGCAGCCCCAGAGCTAATTGCCTCAGGCTATTACCATTATAGCTTACTTGTTGATTGATAACAACTACGATATCTAACTATCTGTACATAGGATTTCAAAGAGAGTACAAAAATGGGTTCTTCCCCTCGTTACAATGCTGGTTGATGAAATATAACTGGTAGTTATCCAATTATGTGACATGTTTCTTTTAATACAGAATTTGTTAATGTTTTCTTTGTTTATATTGTGATGTGGGCTAATTGATGTTAAATAACGCATGTAGGACACTGACATTGAGACATGAAGTCAGGATGGAGAGGAGACGAAGAAGGAGAGGACTGTGAAGAAAAAAAAAGGGAGGATTCTAAGATATGGTTTCTTTTAGTCAGTTGATGTGTGTTTAGTCAGTTTATTCCAGTGTGTTAGTTTGGCTTGGCTTATGGAAATAACAAGGCAAGTTTATATGCTATCGTTGTATATGTCATGTTTTAAATTAGGGCTTTGGGTGGATTGCATGTTAAACCCTTGTATGTGTCAAGTCGATTCTGTAATAGGAGATGGTTGTTTTTCTGTTTATTTGGTCTGTGGTGTTCCATCTTGTTAATAACAGATAAATCGTTACTTCTTTAGAACGTGAAGTACAAAAAACAGAGGGGTGCAGAGAAAATGCTATAGAATATATCTACAATTTTTTTGGTTTATGTTGGTAAGAAAAATGTTGGACGTATTTGCCTTTTCTTTACGAGTTCATGTATTGTTTAATATGTTATAATTATATTGACATTTGTATATCTAAATTCCTGGTGAGAACTGAGATTGTTATATGATTATATTGACGTTTGTATAGCTATATTCCTGGAGAGAACTGAGGATGAACAGATCGCTTCATGTCCCTTGGAAAAACAAATAAACCATAATGCGCCTCGAGTTATTGGAGACTTGGACCTTAATTGTTGTCATTCTTGATAATTTTTGAGTTGCTATACGGCTTATATGTCACATGAACTAGTTTTAGCTATTGCATTTGATTTAGAAAAGAGGTTAATTCTATCAAAAATTAAATAAATAAATAAATAAATAATAGAGGTTAAGGGAGAGAATCAGTTTTCTTAAAACACATGTTTCAAATTCAAATTCAAGTGTAACAAAGTGTACCCCAAAAGTTATATTTCATGTCATTTAATGAAAATATTCAATATGGAATTTATCGAATTATGGATTTTCAGTCCTTTTGTGACACCCCTAGTTTCACACATGACTACAGTACAAGTGAACCTAAAGATGCCAAAACTGTCATGCACCCAATATTGTGCATAAACACGTTTCATTATCACTATCACTCTAGCAGAAGTCAAAAAAAAAAAAAAATGTAGAGAAGAGATATCCAATAAAAAAAAAATAAAAAAAAACAGTGATGGTACAAGCAGATATAAAGAATGAAATTACAAGGAACAAAATGTAGAGAAGAGATATCCAATAGTATCTATAAACACGTATCGACAGAATAAACTAAAAGTACATCTGATAAACTAAAATAAGAATAATGAGTCTCTAACATATAAGAGTCAACTGAACAGTACATAAACGCTCAGCCTCGAACATGAAATACATTTCTAGAAGATTAAAAAAAAAATAGTCTACTTTGAAGCACCAACTAGCTACTTATAAATGATGATAAACTATACCGAGCCTGCATCAACTTACGGCTCTCCAAATCCCTGACCCGCTACCTGAAAAAGATGGAAACAACGAGCATCAGAGCACTAGCAAGAACATCTCCCTCCGCCCCCAGGGGGAATGGGTCACCTATAAAACAATACTACACATAACATGTATGCATATGTATATGCATATATATATATATGTATGATATATCTAGTAGCAAGAGGAGTTAAGATTTAGGAACTCACAACACGAGGTAAGTACGTCGAGAGAATAATCCAAACAAGGAAACCCTCATATATATAACATGTATCTCAAATTGTGAGTCACTAAATGTCAACTCCAAATCCTATAAATAAGTAATACATAAATACCTAATCAACACTTCATCCAGAACATGTCATGCGTGTCAAGCACAATATCTCATACTACTTTCGGGTAGGTGGCACAGAAACAAATATACGATTCTCTGTAATCCTCGTCAAAAGTGTGTATCGTTACATATGAATGTCACAAGGTTGGACTACGTCCACAAACAGTACTCGCCTAAATCCTAGACGTCCCAAAGATGTAGAGTGTAGTCGTCCGCAGTATCATGCAGCTCATAGACTAACACACTAGGAGTGATGTCGCACACAATATCGTGCGGTACACGGACAAGCGCACTTAACCACCTAAATAAAGATGCATCATAGTGTAGTCGCCCGTAAATATCCTGCAGTACATGAAATAACGAACTCAGAGTCGCCCGCGTTCTCATGCGGTGCACAGACTAACATACTCAAGCATCCAAAATCACTGTAAACCGAAACATTCGTGACTCCCTATCGTGACAAACACGAAACATTAGATTACGCACACTCAAAGGCCCGTGCGTGCTCAAACCCAATACATGCACTCCCATGGTCATGCACGTGAATCGACGTGTGGCTCGTACTTTGTGTTTGCGACTAAACATGCGTAGAAAATCAACATATGCAGAACAACACCAGATCAGTTGACTACCCTTGGGGCTCAATCGATTGACATTCGATTAGTCGACTGATATTCCATCAATCAACCTTTCGGCGGACGTTCATAACGTGCACAACTAACAAGTCTTGATTGGTCGATTAATGATAGATCCGTCGACCAATCAGAGAACATACAAACGCAATAGGTCTTGATTGCTCGACTGATACCTTATCGGTCGACCGACCAGGGAGAAAACATAGAGTTTTGAAAATGAGTATCCTTATCATAGGAGGGGATTTCCTCCTTGAAAATGATATAGCACAATCCCTACCATGTGATATTCTCTCTCCTATTTTATTCACATGGTGGGGATTGTGCCACATCATTTTCAAGGAGGAAATCCCCTCCTTGACATAGAACACCCATTAATCTCATATATAATATACATACATATATATTGGGAAAAGAAAGTTGTGATGAATATTGAAATTTTTTTTATTTAGAAATTTTGTACACAATAAACCTGACCCGACCCAAAACCTAGCTTTTGGAGCCGATCGGTCGACTGGTCCTTCTGATCAGTTGACCGACCAGAAGATAGATCGAAAACAACAGTCATTCTGATCAGCCCTTCTAAAACCGTGAATTGATCTCAAATCGATTCCAAGCTGATTCATTCATCCCAGAATGATCACCAAACACAATAAAACTCATTTATTATTATTTACAATAATATTTTCAAAAATTTTTATGGTATTACATTCACCCCACCTTAAAGAGAATTTCGTCCTCGAAATTCAGTAATTTATTATTGATCACAAGATATGTATCACACACAATAGTTACACTTAACAACTAGAATGTGAATACTCATGCTCAACCTCTAATTAAACAGAATTAGTATGTCGGGCGAAAAATCCAAACAATAAACCCCCATGTATATACCATATGTTCCGAATGATTAGCCGTTAAGTGTTAATATCCACATTTTAGCATGAAGTGTAAATGTGTCTGTCTAGGTAAGATAAATATCAATGAAGTCATAACTAGAAATATACCTGCTCGAACAGATGTGGGTAGTCGCGACGCATATCCTCTTCACGCTCCCAGGAAGCTTCCTCAATTCCCTTCATGTTCCACTGCACCTTAACCAATGGAATTACTTTATTCCGAAGTTTCTTGTCTTCCCTGGCAAGAATGTGTACTGGAGTCTCAACTGTAGTCAAATCCGCCTGAAGCTCTAAATCTGACACATCAAACACTCTTTGCTGTTCCTCGTCTCGTAAGTGCTTCTTGAGCATCGAGATATGGAAGGCGTCATGCACACTCGACAGCGATGTTGGAAGGTCTAGTCGGTACAAGAGGTCTCCAATACGATCGACAATCCTAAACAAGCTGATATATCTCGGGGCAAGCTTTCCCCATCTACCAAACCGTCTCCAATCTGGAATTCTAAGGGTCATCGTCTCTGATCTGTGTAACTCTTTTGTCGATTCTAGACTATAAGAATACGCTCTTGAATCAACGCTACATGTTCTGTAGTTTGCCTCACCAGATCTGGTCCAAGTAGTAAGATATCCTCAGACTCTGCCTAACAAATCGGAGATCTACAGGGCCGCCCATACAATGCTTCATAAGGAGCCATTCCAATTGTTGATCGGTAACTATTGTTATAGGCTAATTCAATCAATGATACGTGATCCTCCCAACTACCCTAGAAGTCGATCACACATGCCCGAAGCATGTCCTCTAACACTTAATTGACTCTCTCTGTCTGACCATCTGTCTACGGGTGGAAAATATTTCTATAAGCTAGCTGGTTGCCGAAAGAATTTTGGAAACTTTTCTAGAAATGGGATGTGAATACTTAGCCACGGTCTGATACAATCGTCTCTGGAACTCCATGCAATCTCACAATATCCCTAATGAAAATCTTTGTATAAGTCTCTACAGTGTGAGTTGTCTTAACTGGTAAGAAGTGCGCTGACTTTGTCAGTCAATCAACAATCACCCAAATGGAATCATTTCCTGTGGTAGACTTCAGCAATCCCCTAATGAAGTCCATCAAAATATTTGTCCACTTCCATTTAGGAATTGGTAAGGGCTGTAGGGTATCAGCCGGTCTCTGATGTTCGGCCTTTACCTGCTGACAGGTAAAGTATTTACAGACATACTCTGCAACATCCCTACGCATGCTGTTCCACCAAAAGTGCCTCTTCAAATCCTTATACATCTTGGTCGTACCTAGATGTACCGTATACCTGGTACAGTGTGCCTCATCAAACATATCCTTCTTCAATTGCGACATATCCGGTACTACTAACTGGCCTTTCATTCGAAGGCCTCCTTCTGATCCGATGGTCCAATCTGCCTTGGGCTCTTTGGAAATCTTCCCTTCGGGTTTGAATCCAAGAGTCCTCCAACTGAGCACTAATCACTCTATCAGCCCATGATGGCTGTATGACTAACACTCCCAAAAATGCACTGCCTCCACCAACCTCTGGTCTGAAGTCAAACTGACTGAGGGTAAGAAGATCTCGGTACAATGAGCACCTCAAAGCTGCAAGCTTATGATGACGCTTCCTGCTCAAAGCATCTGCTACTACGTTCGCCTTCTCTGAATGATACTGAAGCACGAACTCGTAGTCCTTAATGAACTTAACTCATCGCCTTTGCCTCTGGTTGAGTTCTTTCTGAGAAAAGATATATTTCAGGCTCAGATGATCGGTAAACAACTCAAACCGAACCCTATAAAGATAATGCCTCCACGCTTTAAGTGCGAAGACCACCGCTGCCAACTCTAAGTCATGCGTGGGATAATTCTATTCATGAGTCCTCAACTGTCGTAAGGTATAAGCAACATTCTCAGAGTCTACATCAAAACGCCTCTTAGTCCCAACAATGATGCATTTGTGTAAACAACAAAAGTATTGTCTTGGGATAATCAACATTAGCACGGTAGTCAACTTGGCCTTTAGAGTCTCAAAGGCATTCTGACACTCTGGCCCACAAATAATCTGAATACTCTTCTTCGTAAGACGTGTCAGTAAGGTAGCAATCCTAGAAAAATCCTGGATAAATTTCCTATAGTAACTGGCAAGCCCAAAGAAGCTACGAATCTCTGTAACTGTTTTCGACAGCTCCCAATCAAGAATTGCCTTAACTTTGATGGATCAACTACAATACCCTCCTTAGAGACAATGTGACCCAAGAATCTGGCCTCTAAAAGCCAAAACTCACATTTGCTAAACTTCGCATACAACTGGTGTTCTCGCAAAGTGTGCAATACCAAACGAAGATGCTATTCATGCTCGACCTCTGACTTCGCGTAGATGAGGATGTCGTCGATGAAAACGATCACGAACTGGTCTAAATATGAGGCAAAAAAACCCGATTCATCAAATCCATGAATACTGCAGTTGTATTATTCAATCCAAATAGCATGATAAGAAACTCAAAGGACCCATACTGGGTCAGAAATATGGTTTTGGGAATATCCATCTCCCGAACGCGTAATTGATGATAACCCGATCAAAGATAAATCTTCGAGAAACACTGTGCTCCCTACAACTGGTCAAATAAGTAATCAATTCTCGGCAACTGATACCTGTTCCAGATGGTGACCTTATTCAACTCATAATAATCAATACAAAGGTGAAGGCTTCCGTCTTTCTTCTTCACGAAAAGGACTAATGCTCCTTATAGAGAATGGCTACGGTGAATAAATCAGCTCCTCTAATTGAGTTTGTAACTCATTCATTTCGATAGGTGCCATACGATAGGGTGCACGGGATATCGGTGCGGTGCCTGGTTGCAACTCTATGCAGAACTCAATCTCTCTCACCGTAGGCAATTAAGGTATGTCCTGAAAGACATCCTGATACTCAGAGACTACTCTGGTCTCACAAAAAATAGCACCTTGATCCCCCTGCAATGCCTTCTCAATGTATGCCATAGATGACTCTGCAAACTAGTTTCCCTGTGAGGTTGCTACAACCAACTCAGTCTCATCGGATGCTCGCAAGCTAACTTTTTTTTTGCAAAATAGTCGATACTAACATGATAGGAAGATAACCAATCCATACCAATAATCACATCAAACTCAGACATGCATAAGACGATCAAATCAACTATAAACTCGGACTCGTCTAGGTTGACAACACATCTCTTACAAATACTCTCTAATAGTGACACATGACCTAAAGGAGTAGAAACTAACAAAGGAATGTCTAAAGGCTGTGCAACTAGCTGAAGCCTATCCATGAATGTAAAAGATATAAATGAATGCGAAGCTCGTGAATCAAAAAGAATCCGGGTTGGGAAGGAGTTCACAAGGAACGTACCTTCCACTATGGTCGCTCGCACCATGATCACGTAGCACCACTGCATACACTCTAACCGTAGTGGTGGACTATTGTGCTAAGGGTTCTAATGTATACAGAACCATCTGTCACTGAGGTAACTCCTAAATAACATGCACCTGACCCTCGGTCCTTGGAAGTGGCGGAGGTGCCTCAAGTCTCGGCTGCTGGCCATGGCCTCGGCCCTAGCACTTACCCCGACCTTTGACCTGCTGGCTTCCAGCTAGTGCACTGTGACACTCTGCGGCTTTATGACCGAACTTATGACAGTGAAAACAAGCACCTTGAAATTTTTA